GAGGGCGACCACTTCTTGACCTGTCATCTACACTAGAGTCTTCATTGTATCGTTTGATGGTACGATAAACGAATCTTTTGGTTATATTCAAATTTTTCAGTATATCAAAAAATTTAATTGGCGCGTAATCGCAACTGCAACACGGTCTTTTTTAAGCGTCCACTCCATATGTAAAAACCGGCCAAGAGCGTGTCGGGCCACGCTCAGTGTAGGATTCCGTAGTTTTCCGTCCGTCACAATAAGTGTTCCATTCCATCCATTATGTTCGCGCTCCAGCAGCGCTCCGCGCTCCTGCAACTGCTCCCGGTAGTGGGTACGTGCGCGAACATGGAGCGTGCAACATTGCACGCTCCGCGACAGGCGATGCCAAGGAGAGACCAACCGAACAATTCGATAATACCCGACCCAATGTAATAAGTACCTACAGCGCCATCTCTCGGGGAATTGGGTTACTAATTAATACATAGACGTGCCAGAAGTTTTCGGTGGTAATTTTGGATAATTTTTTAATAATTCTTTTTTTGTTTGAAAAAAGATACGTTCAGGATAATAAAATATGTAAACGAAGTTAAAAAAAAGCCTGCTTAAACGATTATACTACAAACTTAGTCCAGAAATTATTTTGTACAACTTTTTGTCTTTTTTGTACAAAAACTGTTTCCATCCAGGTTCAAAATAATTTTCCTAGAAAGTACTTATAAAGTTCTACCTTTCAGATTTTTTTCATATTTTCTAAACCTATGGTTCAAAAGTTAGAGGGGGGGGGACACATTGTTTTTTACTTTTGGAGCGATTATTTCTGAAATTATTGACATTATCAAAAAATGATTTTAGTAAACCCCTATTCATTTTTAAATACCTTTCCAACAATATGTCACACGTAAGGGTTGAAATTAAAAAAAAAAATCACTTCCCACTTTACATATAGGGGGGCTACCCTAATAAAACATTTTTTTCCAATTTTTATTTTACCACTTTGTCGGCGTGATTGATACACATATTGGTACCAAATTTCAGCTTTCTAGTGCTAACGGTCACAGAGATTAAGCGAGGACGGACAGACGGACAGACAGACATGGCGAAACTATAAGGGTTCCTAGTTGACTACGGAACCCTAAAAATGAGTAAAATTCTAAAAAGTATACAGTTTTATTTTCATGAACAATTCGAATTCAATAAACTTTTTTGTGGCCAGCATTCTAAAAGAAAAGTTTTTACTGTGTGACAATACTTATGACCTGACTAGGTATATACGTTGGTACGTGGGTGTACATGGGCAGTCTGTTAGCAGCATAAACATTATTTTCTAGACTGAGGTGAATCTTTTTCAGATGTTGTTGTACATCTAGTGTATCCATGATATTACTGCTATTAGTAGATTACTACAGTACAATCTACTCAATGACTAACATAGGAATGATCAATTATGTGATTTCTAAATATTAAATTGCATTTTTTCTGTTATACAAAACGTATTTGAGTCATCAATACACTGAATAAGACGCAACACGAAGAATGTGAGATAAGGTTGTTGACGCATAAAGTTATTATCAATTCTACTGTAGAAATTCTTTAGATTAGAATTATTACTTACTGGTACTATATAAGACCAAGCAACTGCAGTCATGGAGTTAGTGTATGGTCGTTTGACCGCAGTGTATCTATCAATAATACATTTGCGTTACTTCAACGCATCAAAGGCCATAGATGTAAGTGTTTAATCTATTGACAAACTTACTTTTCTTTCTGTTATTTTTTTACGTGTGTATGATTTTGAACGACAGGCCTGTTGGTCTAGTGGTTAGTGACCCTGACTGTTATGCCGGAGGTCGTGGGTTCGATTCCCACCCAAGACAAATGTTTGTGTGATGAGCACGATCATTTGTTCTGTGTCTGGGTGTAATTTATCTATAATATTAATTATTTAGAAATATATAAGTATGTTTATCAGTTGTCTAGTACCCATAACACAAGCTCTGCTTAGCTTGGGACTAGATGGTGTTGTGTGATAGTTGTGGAATATTATTATTATTATTATTATTATTATTTAGTGTTAACAAATTATATTTAAATATTTTGTGTGTGTATATGATTAAGCCGTGGTAGCTCAGATGGTTAGCGCAAGCTGTAAATTTTACAGTACGTAATGCGGGTTCGATCCCCGCCGACACCAATTAAATTGTTAATTGCAATTTTAAGTGTTTATTCTATTGACACACTTACTTTTCTTTCTGTTATTTTCTTATGTGTGTATGATTTAGTGTTAACAAATTATATTTAAATATTGTGTGTGTATATGATTAAGCCGTGGTAGCTCAGATGGTTAGCGCAAGCTGTAAATTTTACAGTATGTAACGCGGGTTCGATCCCCGCCGACACCACTTAAATTGTTAATTGCAATTTTAAGTGCTGATTTACCACGTGCTCGGCGGTGAAGGAAAACATCGTGAGGAAACCTGCATGTCTGAGAAAATTTCGAAGGCATGTGAAGTTCGCCAACACGCATTGAGACCGCGTCGCGGACATTTCCTAGCCATAAATACAAAGACAATAGCAGAAAGTAAAAAGTTAAAAAATACTTTTTTAACAATGACAGTCATTAGTTGATCATTAGTGAATGTGATTCTGTTTTCTTAAATTACAGGAAGAAAAGAGCAGAAGGAAGAAATGGGGTGATGGGAAGTAATGAAGAATGAATTGTTGTGTGAAGTTTGTTGGAACAAACATATTTTAGTTACGTGTAAATACTTTTAACACTTTGGTTCAAAATGACACAAAATCTAAAAAATATTAGATACATCATCGACATGGACGGATTTTACATTACATATCCTCATAAACATTTTCAATGTAGAGAAATGGCTATTCTAGACGTAAAACTATCTAATAAAAATGATTCGTTTATCGATCATTATTTGTTTCAGCCAAGTTATCCTTTTAATTATTTGTCGCCAAAAGACAAAAAAACTGTTCGTTATTGTGAAATACACGTGCACGGCATTCCATATTTTGATGTGACCGAAGAATTAAAATGTGCCTACAAACAAGAGAACATCATTCCCATATTAAATTGATATATTAGAAATTTGTGCAAAGACGAAGTGATCGCATACAAAGGTGGTTCAACAGAAAAACAATTTTTAAAAATGTTGACGACGAATGATAGAATTTTTAATATCGAAGAATACAAATGTCCAAAATACAATGATTTGGTAAATGTCATAAATTTAAACAAACGTTATGTGTGTAATAATCATATAATTGCAAAAAATAATCACAAAATTTTACATTGTTCTTGTGACGAAGTGTGGGTTTTTTACAAGTGGTTATTGCTTGAAAATAAAATTTTAAATTAATCATAAATTTTGTTTGATTTCCCAAAAACATTAGTTATAGTATACTATATAATACAAAATTGGTTCAACAGAAAAACAATTTTTAAAAATGTTGACGACGAATGGTAGAATTTTTAATATTGAAGAATACAAATGTCCAAAATACAATGATTTGGTAAATGTCAAAAATTTAAACAAACGTTATGTGTGTAATAATCATATATTTGCAAAAAATAATCACAAAATTTTACATTGTTCTTGTGATGAAGTGTTGGGTTTCTTACAAGTGGTTATTGCTTGAAAATAAAATTTTAAATTAATCATAAATTTTGTAACTAATGTTTTTGGGAAATCAATCTTTACCAAATCATTGTATTTTGGACATTTGTATTCTTCAATATTAAAAATTCTATCATTCGTCGTCAACATTTTTAAAAATTGTTTTTCTGTTGAACCACCTTTGTATGCGATCACTTCGTCTTTGCACAAATTTCTAATATACCAATTTAATATGGGAATGATGTTCTCTTGTTTGTAGGCACATTTTAATTCTTCGGTCACATCAAAATATGGAATGCCGTGCACGTGTATTTCACAATAACGAACAGTTTTTTTGTCTTTTGGCGACAAATAATTGAAAGGATAACTTGGCTGAAACAAATAATGATCGATAAACGAATCATTTTTATTAGATAGTTTTACGTCTAGAATAGCCATTTCTCTACATTAAAAATGTTTATGAGGATATGTAATGTAAAATCCGTCCATGTCGATGATGTATCTAATATTTTTTAGATTTTGTGTCATTTTGAACCAAAATGTTAAAAGTATTTACACGTAACTAAAATATGTTTGTTCCAACAAACTTCACATAACAATTCATTCTTCATTACTTCCCATCACCCCATTTCTTCCTTCTGCTCTTTTCTTCCTGTAATTTAAGAAAACAGAATCACATTCACTAATGATCAACTAATGACTGTCATTGTTAAAAAAAGTATTTTTTAACTTTTTACTTTCTGCTATTGTCTTTGTATTTATGGCTAGTAAATGTCCGCGGCGCGGTCTCAATGCGTGTTGGCGAACTTCACATGCCTTCGAAATTTTCTCAGACATGCAGGTTTCCTCACGATGTTTTCCTTCACCGCCGAGCACGTGGTAAATCAGCACTTAAAATTGCAATTAACAATTTAAGTGGTGTCGGCGGGGATCGAACCCGCGTTACATACTGTAAAATTTACAGCTTGCGCTAACCATCTGAGCTACCACGGCTTAATCATATACACATACAATATTTAAATATAATTTGTTAACACTAAATCATACACACATAAGAAAATAACAGAAAGAAAAGTAAGTATGTCAATAGAATAAACACTTAAAATTGCAATTAACAATTTAATTGGTGTCGGCGGGGATCGAACCCGCGTTACGTACTGTAAAATTTACAGCTTGCGCTAACCATCTGAGCTACCACGGCTTAATCATATACACACACAAAATATTTAAATATAATTTGTTAACACTAAATAATAATAATAATAATAATAATAATAAGCAGCCCCTAGCAGCCCCTCGCATCCATCATCCCCACCAGAAGGCTTGGTGTCGGCTGGGTCTTCTCGGACCCAGCAAGCGGCACCCGCCGCTGGTGGAGCACGTCGCATGCGTTGGACAAAATCCATGAACGAAAACGCATTGCGGGCGTACTATAGGGCGAAAGGGGAAGAAACTGTGGGAATAGCGTATAGGTCTCGGATGCATTGCTTTTTTGCTGAGCTGGAGCCGTCTATCCCCGTCACGGAACAAAACCTGGCAGACCGAGTTCGGTACATCATGCGCTCGAAAATATTTGATGATGCCGAACTCGAACGACTACGACGTGAGGCTATTCCGTCGTCGAATGAATCGGCTATGGCTGGAGATGCAGCTCCACATTCGACAGACCAGCATCCACACGTGGAAGCCGCCATGGATCTTCCAGTTGTGGTTGATTCGAACGACGATGAAATAGTCTCCCACGAACTAGAGCAAATGAGGAGTATATTGGAAGAGGCGATTTTGGAAACGCGCAGCACCCCTCTCGAAAATCGACCGCGACTTCCCCCGCATACCCTTAAGCAAGCGAAATCGGGCTGTCGTGAGGGCTCTTAACCCAATGCTGGTGACCTATTTGGAAGCCAGCCGGGACCTTTGCGAGACGGACTCGATTCTCTTTGGCGCCGCAGTGGCAGTTTGCCGTATTATTGGCGCCAAACTTCCCATGGCTGGACGCGCTACTACACAAAGTAACGCCATCCCAGCCTGGAGGAAAAGAATCGAGGACCGTATCGCAAAGGCAAGGGACCTTATCGGCAGACTGACAAGCTTCAGGTCGGGTAATAATAGACCGAGGATTATGCGCACCGTTAGGATGGCGTTTGCTGGGACAAATATCAGTTTGTCCCAGCCGGATATCACGCAGAAACTAACGGAGCGCATAGACGACCTGAAGCAAAAGATCGCTGCTTGGGGGAAGCGGATTCGACGATTTTCCGAGGGGTCAAGGCGGTTCAACCAGAATCGTCTCTTCCAGAGTGATCAGAAGAGGCTCTATAAATTATTGGAGCGACCAAAGGTATGTGTAGCGGGCCAAGGACCGGATCAGGCTGACATTATCGCATTCTGGCGTGGCCTGTGGTCAGAGCCCGTAAACCACAGTGAGGGCCCTTGGATGGAAGTTGTGGCGAGCCAGGGTGCGAGTGTTACGCCTATGGACCCCATCACCATAACGCCAGAAGACGTGGCTGAGGCGGTCCGTAGGGCCCCGAACTGGAAAAGTCCGGGGTTCGACGGGCTGCATTATTACTGGCTGAAGGGGTTCGTAGTGTGTCACGCTGTGCTCGCCCGAAAGTTTCAAGAGGCTCTCGAGCAGAAGTCACTCCCGAGCCTCTTCACTACTGGGATCACTCACTTGGTTCCTAAAGATCAAGATACCACAGACCCGAGCAAATACCGCCCCATCACGTGTCTACCCACCATATATAAGACACTGACATCCATTTTGAGCGCGAGAATCACTCGTCTCCTGGAGCTAAACCAGGTGATGTCACGCGCTCAAAATGAATGTCGGGGCGGTGGTCGTGGAACTAAGGAACCACTCCTCATTGACGCGGTCATAGGCAAAGTGGTGAAACGCAACCGTCGGAACTTCTCTGCCGCCTGGATAGACTACAGAAAGGCGTTCGACTCGGTGCCCCATACATGGCTAAAGAGGGTCCTCGAGCTGTACAAGATTGACTGTACAGTTAGAGACTTCCTCGAGCAGTGTATGGGGCAGTGGAGTACGATCCTTTGTCATCTGGGCGAGCGGATGACGGCTGCGGAGAACCACATAAGGATAAGAAGGGGTATCTTCCAGGGCGATTGTCTGAGTCCAATCTGGTTAACCCTCTCAGTACCTTACTGGAGGGCTCCGGGGGGGATTTCAGCTACGGAGAGGAGGGACAAAAGTGATCCACCTTTTCTATATGGATGACCTAAAGTTATTCGCCTCCAGTCGCTCCCATCTTATGGAACTGCTAAACATCACTTGTGAATTTAGCAGTTCCATTGGAATGGAGCTGGGGACGGATAAGTGTGCGGTCCTCCATGTTGAAAGGGGAAGGGTTGCTAACTCTGAGGGCATAGACTTGTCTATGCCCGTCAACTTAAGGACCCTTTCCGAGGCTGAAACATACCGATACCTGGTTATGTCACAGAACATCGGTATCGATGAGGCTGGTATGAAACAGTCAGTTTGCGACGTGTTTTATGCACGCTTGACCAAAGTGCTTAACAGCCTTTTGTCCGGTGTGAATAAGACACACGCATATAACGGCTGGGTCATGCCTGTCCTCATGTATACCTTTGGCATACTCAGGTGGACTCAGACTGAGCTTAACGCCCTGGATAGAAAAGTCCGCACTATCATGACGTCCCATAGGATGCATCATCCGAGATCGTCGGTAATGAGGCTGTACTTGCCGCGAAAGTATGGTGGGCGTGGCTTTCTGAGCGCGCTCACCATGCATAATCGCGAAGTGTGCAGTCTCCGTCAGTACTTCTTGGCGAGATCGGATGATCCATTCTATAATGACGTCATTTCTAGTGATAAAGGGCTTACCCCTCTATCCTTAGCCAACGAGCAATGGCAGGACCCAGCAGTGCTTAGCAATTCCGACCGGGAAACCGTATGGAAGGAGAAGGAGCTCCACGGGAGGTACTACAAGGCTCTACATGAGCCCTTCGTAGATACAGTCGCCTCCCTCAACTGGCTACGTTTCGGTGACCTCTTCGGGGAAACCGATGGTTTTGTCTGTGCAATTCAGGATCAGGTTATTAAGACCAACAACTATCGGAGATACATCCTAAAGGATGGCACCGTCGACGTCTGTCGAGCTTGTCGCCATCCCGGGGAGTCACTTAGGCATGTCATCTCCGGTTGTTCGGCGCTTTCTAACTCTGAGTACTTGCACAGGCACAACCTAGTAGCCAGAATTCTACACCAGGAGCTCGCGCTGAAATACGGTCTCGTGGACCGGAAATTGCCGTATTACAAGTACTTGCCGGAAGCCGTGCTCGAAAATGACCGCGCCAGACTCTACTGGGACCGGGCCATCATCACAGACAGGACTATTCTTGCGAATAAGCCTGATATTGTGCTGATGGACCGGGCACAGTCAAGGATATTTTTGGTCGATATTACCATCCCGTATGACGAGAACCTCGTGAGAGCCGAAACAGATAAGCAATCAAAATATCTGGACCTGGCTCACGAGGTGACGGACATGTGGGGTGGTCTGCCGGCCGAAATTATTCCTGTAGTCGTCTCTGCGAATGGGCTAATCCCAGTTAGCCTCTCTGGTCATCTGAGTCGACTGGAACTCCGTGACGGACTGCTCCGGGCTCAAATGGAGAAGGCGGTGCTCCTTGATACTGCCCGCATCGTCCGCCGGTTTCTTTCCCTTTCTTCCTAACCCTTGGCCGTTTGGTCTCCCCTGCCGAGGGCTTCCATCTGGTTGGGCTTTTATTTATTTCTGTATTTTTGTATTTATTTTATTTTATTGATATTTATGTATATTTATCCTTTCATTTTCGTTTATAATTATATATTTATACATCCCAACTAGATGAGAAATTAAAAATTAAAAAAAAAAAATAATAATATTCCACAACTATCACACAACACCATCTAGTCCCAAGCTAAGCAGAGCTTATGTTATGGGTACTAGACAACTGTTAAACATACTTATATATTTCTAAATACATAAATATTATAGATAAATTACACCCAGACACAGAACAAATGATCGTGCTCATCACACAAACATTTGTCTTGGGTGGGAATCGAACCCACGACCTCCGGCATAACAGTCAGCGTCACTAACCACTAGACCAACAGGCCTGTCGTTCAAAATCATACACACGTAAAAAAATAACAGAAAGAAAAGTAAGTTTGTCAATAGATTAAACACTTACATCTATGGCCTTTGATGCGTTGAAGTAACGCAAATGTATTATTGATAGATACACTGCGGTCAAACGACCATACACTAACTCCATGACTGCAGTTGCTTGGTCTTATATAGTACCAGTAAGTAATAATTCTAATCTAAAGAATTTCTACAGTAGAATTGATAATAACTTTATGCGTCAACAACCTTATCTCACATTCTTCGTGTTGCGTCTTATTCAGTGTATTGATGACTCAAATACGTTTTGTATAACAGAAAAAATGTAATTTAATATTTAGAAATCACATAATTGATCATTCCTATGTTAGTCATTGAGTAGATTGTACTGTAGTAATCTACTAATAGCAGTAATATCATGGATACACTAGATGTACAACAACATCTGAAAAAGATTCACCCCAGTCTAGAAAATAATGTTTATGCTGCTAACAGACTGCCCATGTACACCCACGTACCAACGTATACACCTAGTCAGGTCATAAGTATTGTCACACAGTAAAAACTTTTCCTTTAGAATGCTGGCCACAAAAAAGTTTATTGAATTCGAATTATTCATGAAAATAAAACTGTATACTTTTTAGAATTTTACTCATTTTTACATATGGAGTGGACGCTTAAAAAAGACCGTGTTGCAGTTGCGATTACGCGCCAATTAAATTTTTTGATATACTGAAAAATTTGAATATAACCAAAAGATTCGTTTATCGTACCATCAAACGATACAATGAAGACTCTAGTGTAGATGACAGGTCAAGAAGTGGTCGCCCTCGATTTGTTAGGACTCCAGCAGTGATAAAAGCTGTAAAGGTGCGAATTCAAAGAAATCCCAAACGTAAGCAGAAACTGTTGGCCCTTCAGATGGGGTTAAGCAGAACCACGGCGTTAAATGAAGACTTAGGGCTTCGGGCATATCGAAGAAAAACAGGACATCGTTTGAATGCTCGTCTAATGGATCTGAGACTGAAGAGATGCCGCGGTTTGGTGAAGCGGAACGCGGGAAAAAAATATCGGGAAATTCTTTTTTTCGGATATAAAAATTTTTACCGTAGAAGAGAGCTACAACAAACAAAATGATAAGGTGTACGCACACAGTAGTAAAGAAGCGAGCAACCGTATTCCGCGTGTCCAACGAGGTCATTTTCCATCCTCACTCATGGTATGGTTGGGAGTTTCTTATTGGGACTTAACAGAGGTACATTTTTGTGAGAAAGGTTAAAAACGAATGCAGTTGTGTATAAAAATACAATCCTGACGAACCTTGTGTAACCTGTTTCTCATACCATGTTCAATAACAGGCACTGGGTATTCCAACAAGATTCGGCGTCAGCTCATAGAGCGAAGAGCACACAAGACTTTTGACAGTTTTTAAAATCTTCGATTTCTCCGCACCTTTTAAACTAATAAGGCCCGTATCGTGTAGAAACTGTCATCTACACTGAAATTTGATAGATAAAACACACGAAACTGGAAAAATCGGTAGTTATCAATCCATATATATATATATATATATATATATATATATATATATAAAATAAATAATTCTCCAATTCATCCACATCTTGAATGAAAATTGCTAAAAAACTAATTGCCTGAAAAAAACTGTATTACATGACAATTTAAACAGAAAAGACCAATTTTTAGTCAAGATAAGGATGAATT